CCCCCAGCCGCAGGGGAAGCAGAGGTGGGAGGGGAGGTTGCAGGAGGCTCCTCCAGCCCTCACCAGCTCTGTGTCTCCTCCAGAGCCCTTGGCCTACATGCCTCCTCTCGCCCCCGGGGCCGAGGCCTGGGCCAAGCCTGAGTGCAGCTGGGAGCACCCCGAGTACTCCGCCGCCACGCTGAGGATCCTGGCCAGCATGCCCAGCCGCACCATCGGTGAGCTCCCCTGCGCCACGGGACCACAGCCCAGCCTGCCCCAGCCCGTCTCTTCCCAGGGGTGGCCACAGGCTGCAAGGAGCAGCTGCATCCCCACCAGCCCAGGCTTTCAGGGCCCAGCCACCATCTGGCCATGCCGTTCGGCCACGTCACAGTGGGTGCAGCCAACAACTGTCCAGTGCCCCAAGCTGCCCAGACACATACCCGGGACCCCCCGGGGCAGACCACACGGCTCAGCTTCCCAAGCCGAGCTGTGATGCATGGGGGGAAACTGTGGGGCTTGCTGCAGGGGGGAGCTGCGGCGGGTGCAGAGCTTTGCGGTGCAGCCAGGACCTGCTGTGGCCCAACCACACCCCCTCCGGTCCAAGCCCACTCTCTGTCTGCTCCAGGCAGCAGCCGCGGGGCCATCCTCTCGCAGTACTACAACCGCACAGCCCGGCTGCGGCGCCGGAGCAGCCGCCCACCCCTGCTGCAGACTTCCCGCGCCGCCCGGCCCAGCCTCCGCCAGTACGACCTGGAGCTGGACGCTGGCCACGCCCAAGAAGAAGGTGAGTTCTGGCCACTGGTGCTGGGGAGGGGCTGGGGGGCTGCCTCGTGGCACTGCAGTCTCATCCTGCCCTTGCTTGTCTCCCCAGAAAAGCGGTGCCTGCTGGTGAAGGAGCTGCAGAGCCTCCCAAGCAGCCAGCGCAGCCACCTGCTGCTGACCATGCCCCTCAGCCTGGCCCAGAAGCGCAGCCTCAGGTGGGTGCCGGCCGTGGTGGGCGTCCCTTCAGCCTGGGAGGGCGGGGAGGGGGCACATGCAGGGGGCAGGGGTAAGCAAGACAGGAAACGGGCCGTGCCCCAAGTGCCCCGTGGGGCAGGCTTGGGGCTGGGTCCCATCCCCCTGCAGCCTCCGTTGGGCTGGGCTGAGCAGGGGCTAGACGTCTGCTTGTCTGTCTGCATTGCAGGCAGGATTCGAGCGGGCAGGGAGACACCCTGAAGAAGCCCCGCAGGATCCGGGGCCCCCTGCCTGGATGCAGCCAAGTCGAGTACCACCTCATCCTCGTGAGTCCTGCTCCCTGCCCAGGGCTGCGGCCAGGGTGGGGGGCTCTGTCCAGAGTGACTTGCTCCCAGCTCGTGGCTGCAGGGTTCCCACTGCAGGGACCCCCACTGGGGGTCCAGCGGGCAGGCAGACAGCTCCCTGGGCCCACAAAGCTGCTGCAGCCCGGGGCTTCTCTGGGGGAGCTGGGGCCCCCCTCCCTGGGAGTGGTGCCTGGCTTGTGCTCTCCATACCTGGGGAGCAATGGGCCAGCGCAGGGCCACGGGGAGCAGAGGCATTGGTAATGGGAGCAGGGACCCTCACCGCACCTGACGGTGGCACCGGCAGCTGGCGTGAGCAGAGCAGGCTCTGGGGTCAAGAAAGCCCCTGGCCCTGGCAGACCTGGACTCAGAGCATCGTGCATCCCCACAGGGTGTCCGGAGTACCTGGTACGGGCTGCTGTCCTCCCTGCCCACGCTGCAGCCCTGGCACTACGCCCTCAAGCAGATCGGCGGCCGCTTCGGCTCCAGTGTCCTGTCCTACTTCCTGTTCCTCAAGACTCTGCTCCTGTTCAACCTCCTCCTGTTCCTCCTGCTCCTCGTCTTCGTCGTGGCCATGCAGGCCGCCTACCCCCCGACCACCCCCGCCCGCCGCACCTTCATGGGCCTCGAGCTCCTCACCGGGGCTGTAAGTGCCTCCCTGGGGGGCTCCAGGGCCCCCGCTCTCCCAGCTCGCCCCTTGCTGCCTGTGTTCCCCCCTCACCTGCTGCGACCCCAAGGAAGTGGAGCCTTGGTCCAGAAAAAGCCCCGCACTTCTCCATGGGGAGGGGAGGCCATGTTGGGGGAAGCAGAGACTCGGGGGACCATTGTGGGGGAGCAGCCCCACATCCCCCTGGCAGAGCTCTCCCCAAAGGCACTGGCAGGGGAGACCGGGTGCCATCCCTGTGCTCCCCGCAGGGCTCCTTCACCCACACGCTGATGTACTGCGGCTACTACAGTAACGACACCCTGAATGACCCCTGCATCTTGGGCCCCAGCTCCGTGAGGTGTCAACGCGGCCACAGCCGCCTGCCCTACAACATGCCGCTGGCCTACCTCTTCACCATCGGGGTCTCCTTCTTCATTACCTGCATCCTGCTGGTGTACAGGTGAGGACCCCCCCCTGCACTCCCCTCCCACTCCCCAAGCCCAGGGTACCACTTTGCCCACCAGCCATTTAGGAAGCTCCCCAGGTATGTGATACCATTTGCACCATGCCTGGTTCCCACCTGCCCGGGCACTCAGCCCAGGCCAGGCGGCGACTGACGGGGCTGCTCCATGCTGCAGCATGTCACGGTCCTTTGGGGAGAGCTACCGCGTGGACAGCACCAGGGGCGACCTCGCCATGAAGCTATTCTGCACCTGGGACTGGAAGGTGACGCAGCGGCGCTCTGTGCAGCTGCTGCAGGACAACCTCTGCACCCAGCTAAAGGTGAGCCCTCCCCAATCCCTATGGCTCCACACAGTTGGACCCCAACCTGGCTCATCTCCTCGGAGAGCAAGCTCTGCCAGGCGAATGGGCAGCACCAGGGCCCGGAGCGGCCTATGCCAGCCATGACGCAGTGTCTTGCAGGAGCTGCTGGGGGAACTCCGGGACCAGTACCGCCCCAGGAGCCTGTGCCAGCAGCTGCACAGGCTGGCAGTGCTGGCCCTGACCTGGGCCTTGTCGCTGGGCAGTGTGCTGGCCTGCGTCCTCGCCGTCTACTACTTCTCAGAGCACATGCACAGGGTGAGCATGCCCTACCACCAGATCCCCACTGAGAGCCCACCTGGGGCAGGGAGCCCAGTGCCAGGTCCCAGCACCCCTAGCTCTGAGCTGCTCGCTGGCGGGTGACACCCCGGGCGCCTGCTTTGCAGGTGCAGCAGAAGAGCTGGGAGCAGCACAGCAGCGAGATGCAGGAGGAAGCCCAGCTGCTGGCCCTGCCACTGGTCGTATCCCTGATGAACTTGGTGCTGCCCTATGTGTACAGCGGGCTGGGCACCTGGGAGAGGCAGGAGTCCCCGGTGCTGGGGGTCTACGTGGCCATCTGCAGGTGGGTGGCACATGGGGTAGGGGAGACACCTGCCGGATTCAGGGGCTTCTCACACCCATCAGGGCCCCGTCCCGGTCCTCGCTCTCAGCCCTGCTCCCCACCCTCTTCTTCCCCCCAGGAACTTGCTGCTGAAGATGGTGGTGCTGGGGATGCTGTGCTACCACTGGCTGAGCCGCAAGGTCGGGCTATCAGGGGACAAGGTCAGTGGGCTGGCGGCAGGCGCTGTGTGTGGGGCGCAGGGGCAGCATTACCCCAGAGCCCTGGATGGGACTCAGTGGCTTGGAGAGAGAACAAGGGGCTCGAGAGACAGGAGTTTCCCCTCCAAATGGAGCTTTATTCAGCAGAGAGCCTTGCTCTCATGCTGAGCCCTGTGCTGGAGACCTTGCAAGGGGGTCTTGTTCCGTGTCCTGCTGCCACACAGCCAGCGTCTCGCCGGGATACTGTGGCAGAGCACCATGGGCCAGGCACACAAGGGGCTGGAGACCCAGAGAGCAGGTGGGATCGCTGCCAGCTGTGGGGGCACAGGGGCCTGGGGGTTAGGGGTCCCCACAGGTCTAACAAGGCTCAGGGAGGCCCGGAGGGAGCCTTCCTGCTCCTCACTCTGATGCTCCCATGCCCGTGTGCCCAGTGCTGGGAGACGTCGGTGGGGCAGGAGCTGTACCGCTTCGTGGTGATGGACTTCATCTTCGTCCTGCTGGACACCCTCCTTGGGGAGCTGCTCTGGAGGTAATGACCCCCTGCGGCCTCCATCAGCTCTGACCCGCAGGGACCGAGCAGCCAGGCCTCGGGAAGGGCCAAGGCTCGCGTCCCGTGACCTCGCCCTCACGGCGCCCCCACTCTCTTCCAGGCTGATCCTGGAGAAGAGGCTGAAGAGGAAGCAGCGGCCGGAGTTCGACATCGCACGGAACGTGCTGGAGCTGATTTACGGGCAGACGCTGACTTGGTGAGGTCCCGGGGCCACGCCGTGCTCCCACGCCTGCCCCGAGGCCATGACTCACTTCCTCCGTGCGTTCCCAGGCTGGGCTCACACGCTCTGGCCAGCCTGGAGCCCTGGGGAGAGAGGCCGCGTGTGCTGGCCCTGCCTGGGGCCGAGGTCAGGCCCACTTGTAAGGGTAAAGCTGACCTCCAGCTGCCCGGGGAGGACAGCACGTGGGGCAGGGCTAGGCGAGTAGCTCAGCACCCTCCTCAAAAGCCTTGTGGGTGATGGGACAGGATATGGCCCTGCCCAGGCCCTGGCTGAGCTCCCTGCGGTGCATGTCCAGGACTGCCTGGGCCTCCCCATCGTGTCGGGGGACGAGGCCTTTGAGTGGGGGCCACGCTTCACCATGACCTATGGTTCACCGCATTGGTCCCCTCCTGCCCATCTCCCCCTTCCTGTGGGCAGCCCAGCCCGGGCCACGCTGTCCTGTGCTGGGGCCCTCCGGCTCCGGGTCGACTGCATCTCCCTCTCTTCCTTCCAGGCTGGGCGTCCTCTTCTCCCCGCTCCTCCCCGCCATCCAGATCCTGAAGCTGCTGCTCTTGTTCTACATTAAAAAGGTAGCACAGCAGGCAGCGCCGCATGGGGACTGGCAGCGGTGCTGTCCTGGGCGAGACCCCAGGTGCTGGACAGGGTGGAACGGGGCAGGCCCCAGCATCGTGTTCAGCTCATCCCAAAGGGGCTGGAAGGTGCCGGGGAGGGGGCCAGCCTCTTCGCCCCTGTGTCCCCCGGTGCCCCAGGGAGCTCACTGGTGGTCGGGAGTTGGCACCGGGACCTGACGGCCTCATGTCCCCAGGCCAGCCTGATGAAGAACTGCCAGTCGCCCAGCAAGCCCTGGCGGGCATCACACATGAGCACTGTCTTCATCACCCTCCTGTGCTTCCCGTCCTTCCTGGGAGCAGCCGTCTTCCTGTCCTACACCATCTGGTCGTGAGTCAGCAGCTGGGGGGTGGGACGAGCGGGACGGAGCTGCCAGGCCTGCTTGCCCCCGGCCTCGCTGCTTCTCTCCATCAGCACGACGCGACCTGGCCATCCAGCACCTACCTGGTGCCCCTGTAGATGCTGGGCACGGGGCAGGGGATTTCCCCAGCCCTGCAGCCTGAGCTGGCAGGAAGCAGAGTACACTCCTGCCCGGGCTCCCGCTTGAGGCACTCGGTCCTCTCCACATGCTAGGGCTGCCCTTTCCTGGGGTAGGACCACCCCGAGCCACCCCGGCTCTCGTGGGGCTGGGGAAGGGGCCTGGCCGAGCTCGGGCACACTCCCCACAGCGAGTGAGACTGTCCCTGTGCCCTCCTGCCTCAGAGCAAAGCCATCGGAGACGTGCAGCCCATTCCGGACCCTGGAGACCATCTATGAGTCTGGGAAGACCTGGGTGCGGCGGCTGGAGCATTCCGGCCCCAGCATCACCTGGTTCACCTGGATCCACCAACACCTGGTGGAAAACACCTTCTTCCTGTTCTTCATGTCCAGCATCCTGCTGTGAGTACCGGAGCCAGGCATCCAGGCTGGGCACTGCCAGTGGACGGCCTTCGTGGGGTCAGGAGCAACCCCTCCAGCTGACCCCCCAGGCTCCCTCTGCCCTGTGCTCTGGCGAGGTGCTGGAGGACTGGAAAAGGGCCAGCGTGGTCCCCATTTTCAAAAAAAGGGAGGAAGGAGGACCTAGGAAACTACAGGCCCATTATTCTTACCTCGGTCCTGGGGAAACTCTTCGAGAAAATTATGCAGGAGCACATCTGCGAGGGGCCGGCAGGGAGATCATGCTTAGGGGCAACCAACACGGGTTCATTAGGGGCAGGTCCTGTCAGACCAACCTGGTGTCTTCTACGACCAGGTCACAACATCCTTAGACACAGGGGTAGCAGTGTACGTAGTCTTTTTGGACTTTAGGAAGGCCGTCGACACTGTCTCTCACCCCATTCTCATTAAAAAATTAGGGGACTGTGGTGTCGACACCTACACGGTCAGATGGGTCACTAACTGGCTGGAGGGCCGCACCCAGAGAGGGGTGGTGGACGGGTCCTAGTTGACCTGGAGGGATGTGGGCAGCGGGGTCCCCCAGGGCTCGGTCCTCGGGCCCGCGCTGTTCAACATCTTCATCAGCGACTTGGACGAGGGGGTGAAAAGCACCTTGTTCAAATTCGCAGACGACACTAAGATGTCGGGGGAAGTGGGCATGCTGGAGGAGAGGGACAGGCTACAACTAGATTTGGACAGGCTACTGGGGTGGGCCGATGAGAACAGGATGGGGTTCAACACTGACAAGTGCAAGGTGCTGCACCTGGGGAGGAGGAACCAGCAGCAGAACTCCAGGCTGGGGAACTCCCTTCTCATCGGCACAGAGGCAGAAAACGATCTTGGAGTCATTATTGATGCCAAAATGAACATGGGCCGACAGTGTGGGGACGCGGTCAGGAAGCCAACCACACCTTGTTGTGCATCCACAGATGCATCTCGAGCAGGGCCAAGGAAGTGATCCTTCCCCTCTACGTGACACTGGTCAGACCGCAGTTGGAGTACTGTGTCCAGCTCTGGGCGCTGCACTTCAGGAGGGATGTGGCCAGCATGGAGAGGGTCCAGAGGAGGCCACCCGCATGATCGGGGGCAGCAGGGCAGGCCCTACGAGGAGAGGCTACGGGACCTGAACCTGTTCAGCCTCCACAAGAGAAGGCCAAGGGGGATCTAGTGGCCGCTTACAAACTAGTCAGGGGGGACCAGCAGGCATTGGGGGAGTCTCTGTTCCCCCCAGCACTACCAGGAGTGACTAGAAATAACGGTCACAAGCTGGCAGAGGGTAGATTCAGGCTAGACATCAGGAGGCGCTACTTCGCTGTCAGGGCGGCTAGGATCTGGAACCAACTTCCCAGGGAAGTGGTGCTTGCTCCTACCCTGGGGGTCTTCAAAGGGAAGCTAGATAATCACCTAGCCAGGGTCGTCTGACCTCAGATCCTTTCCTGCCCATGGCAGGGGGTTGGACTTGATCTGCTCAGGTCCCTTCTGACCCGACCAACTATGAAACTATGCCCGTGGCAGGTCTCAGCCCTGTGCTCCCCTCGGAGCCACTTGTCCCCATGGTTGGGAGCCCGAGCAGAAGGGCATAGTGGGCTTCTCCGGTGGGTGGTGGGGAGGCTGCTCGTGTTGGAGGAGTCAGAGAGGCCAGGCCCTCACGGCCCCATGGTGCAGTCTGACATGACTGGGCAGTGCGTAGGGCAGGAGGGTGCTGGGGGCAGGCTGGGCTCTGTGCCCTGAGCACGGGCAGGCCCAGGGTGTGCGTGCAGGGCAGGAGCTGGTGGAGCTGACCCGTCTCTGCCCTGGCTGGGGAAGGAGAGGGGAGGCCTGGCCCCCAGTCCCCCCAGCTCAGGCCCTGGCTCTGCCCCACAGGGCAGTGATCTACCTCAAAATCCAGGTGGTGAAAGGCCAGCGCAGGATCATCGGCCTGCTGAAGGAGCAGATCACCAACGTGAGTGCCCAGGGAGAGAAGGTGGGGAGATACGTGGCTCCTGCTGCGGTGCCACGGGGCCTGGGAGCACCCCGATAGCCGGGGTTGGGGAGCCTGCGCCCCTGCTCATCCGCCTGCTCTCCTAGGAAGGGGCGGACAAGACGTTCCTCATTCAGAAACTTCACTCTATCTATGCAAAGCAGGAGCAGCGCACCTGAGCCCAGGTAAGCCAGGGGTGGGAGGAGGCAGCAGGGCCGGAGTGGGGGTCTGGGCGGCTGAGAGGCCCGTGGGTTTCCTTCTGCTGCAGGGGCTGGGAGCAGCCTGGCTGCACTGCCCGCACGGGAGCACTCCGGGCCACTTTTCCCTGGGCAGGACTGGGCACCAGGGACCGCAGGGTTTGTTTGCAAGCTCTGGGGTCAGTGCCCACGCAACCCCCGTGCCGTGGGCCTGTCTGCCAGGCTGTGGCCACAGCCCTCTGTCTTGCCTTCTGGTGCAGCAGGGTCCCTTGAAGCCAGCAGAGGCTCTGGGGCTCAGGCCATGGACAGCCCCCACTTCCAGGAGGTCCTGAGCAGCCAGAGACCAGCCTGGGCTGAGACACGACCACGTCATGGAGAACGCTAGCTGCTGCCTGCCCGGCTGCCCCCATGCTGCAGCCACGAGCCCCACTCGGCCAGACCCCGGAGCTGGTTTCCACCCAGAAAGGACCCCAAGGACTCCCTGCAGAGGTGGCCCGGACTGCCCGGAGCTGAGCGGCGTGTGCCAACAAGCCCAGGGGCCAGGGACGAGCTGCGCTCCCTTGTGCCACTGCCCCACGGACACAGGGCCTGGCGGCCTGAATATTGGCCCGTTCCCCGAGCGACCCTCTCTCCCTTACAGCCCCGTCGCATTAGAAGCGCGATGCTGCAGCTGCTGCTTGGTGCTTTTGTTCCCGGGGTTGTGGGGAGCGGGGGCGCGTGCGAGCTCTGAGGATGGGGGATGCAGGGTGCCCATGCACACTGCTGCTGACAGGGAGGCTGGGGCAGAGATGCCTTGCCCGGGTCCTGAGCCTGTGCCCACATCTGGGCAGCCGGGAATCCAGGCCCGCTGCGCTGCCCAGCCCCAGGGCGCGGTGCTGCAAACTTGCCCCTGGAGCCTGGCGGTCCCATGGCTGTGTCACCCGCTCCTCTCCCACACGCCACACATCTGGGGTCTCATCTCATCTCTAATCCCAGCCCAAAAACAGTTCTTTATTCGAGCCATTATACTTAGCACAGGGGCCAGGGAGCTGTCAGATAGCAGTCGGGCACGGCAAAACCACGTTTTGGGCCGGGCAAGTCTCTGGTCAAAGATGTCCACGAGAGTCCTCCGGGGGCACAGAGCTGTGCCATGGGGTGGCCCAAGCAGGATTACTAGCTGTAATCCTAGCTCAAAAGCCTGTTCCTTATTCGGGTCCATATATCTAGCACAGTGGCTGGGGGGCTGTCACTTAGCACCCTGGCACGGCCAAACCGCCTTTTGGGCCAGGCAATATTCTGGTTAGAGGTGTCCAGGAGAGTGGCCCGGCACCAGTGTCACGGCGTGGGGTGGCCCAAGAAGCATTTCCGTCTCCCGTGCCAGCCCACCAGCCAGTTCCTAATTCAAGACCACATACTTAGCACAGCTCGGCGTGCTGTCTGTTGGCAGCCTGGCTCGGCCAAACCGCGGCTTGGGTCAAGCAAGTCTCTGCTCAGAGATGTCCAGGAGTGTCCCCCGGTGGCACAGAGACATGGTCTGGGGTGGCCCAAGAAGGATTTCTGGGTATAATCCCAGCCCAGATTCCAGTTCCTTATTCCGGTTGATTAATTTAGCACAGTGTCTGGGGGGTGCTGTCGGTTGGCAGCCTGGCACGGCCACACCTCACTTTGGGCCGGACAAGTCTCTGGTCACAGACGTCCAGGACAGTCCCCCGGTGGCACAGAGGTATCCTGATGGGTGGCCGAAGAAGGGCCAGTTCCTTATTCAAGCCATTATACTTAGTAGAGTGGGCATGGGGGCCGTGAGCTGGCAGCTGGCACGGCCAGGCCGCGCTTGGGGCCGGCGGGACTGTGGTCAGGGCTCTTCGGGACAGCCTCCGCGGCACCGCCATGAAGGCTGGGGTGGCCCAAGCAGTACTTTGCCCCATAATCCCATCCTGGCCTTTCCGGACTTGATGTGGGGTATTCTTTTACATATTAATTAGTCCTGTGCGTAGCTAATGAGATTCTCGCTCTCTAGGACGCGTAATTCATTAATAACGAGCTTTTACTGAGTCTAGATCAGCTTTGTAAAAGGAACCCGGAACTGGGAACCAGGAACCGAGCGGCGGCCCCGGGAGGGACGGGCGGCGGCCGAGGCTGTTTGCCTGCGCTCGCCTCGCCCCGCCCCGCG